GATTCGATATCCATTTTATGCAAAAATATTAAATTTGAAATTTGACCTAATTTGACCTGACCTTGACCTGACCTTGACCTGACATTGACCAAAACGTGACCTAAGCTGGCCCCAAAGGCTGCCTGACCCACATAATCGCATTTGTCATGTAAAATGGGCCATAAAACATGTATCACACGACATTTTCATATTGTGACCTCCCAGTGACCTGACCTCTGTGACCTGACCTGGTATCAGTGACCTCAAATAGCAAAATATGTGTTTGAAGAACATTTCCTCATCGATGATTTTCAATGAAATGCATTTTACTCGATTTTACAGCGCATTTCTTGAAATGCCTGTAAACGGTGAAAATTGGACCTTTGAACTGACCTGTGACGTCATCGGTTTGACCTAGGTCAATAAAATTGGGTCACAAGGTAGTTCCCTGATAGGGCTATCCAACACCGTTTGCCGCTTGTCGCTAGGTTGCGTGGTTCTCGAGATCTTAGGGGGGGGGGGGGGCCAAAATGCCCCCCCCAACGGGGCGCGTTGCTCGGCAGAGCCCAACGGGGCGCGGGTTAAAATTGGTCTAATGGGTTGTGATGGGCGGGGAAGCCAGCTGTGGCAAGGATTTTTTCCTTCGAACAACGGTTTCCGAGATATAGCCTCGGGCAATTCCTGGATGTCGCGCTGCAGCCCTATGTTTGGCGGCCTATAACTCAAAAACTATTGGTTTTCTACGATAAAAACTTTATATGGTTCAACTCACAATCAACCAACAAACATTTTAGCTATCTCAGATTCTCAATTTTTGAAAATTTTGATCACGTGACCTTTTGACCTATTTTTCGAAGAGTGACCTTGATATTTTCCCCACTGAAAGTTGCAATTTTGTCTGATGACGATTAAAGCCTTATCAATTGTTATTCATATGCGAAAATAAAAAAGTGGATATCGTCCTGCGTTGACCTCAGGTCAGGTCATTCTTATGACCTGTCCATTATTACGAGCGGGAGCGACAGCAAGATCTCGAGAATAAAGCAAGATAGCGACAAGCGGTAAACGGTGCAGGGTACAAATGGATAAGGTCTATAATTTTTACTGAGGTCATTTTCAGGTCAGGTCAAAGATGACGTCACAGGAGCAAAAAGGAAGTCAAAATTGCGGGACTACATATATATGAAGTTTTCCTCGAATAACTTTCAAGGTATCCCAGCTAGGGACAAACTAATATCACCATCGTGATCCTCTCGTCGATCCGCATCGAAACATATGTATGTTGACCTCGAAAGGTCGAAAGGTCAAAAGTTGACCTTAGGTCACGTGACCTAAGGTCAACTTTTGACCTTTCGACCTTTCGAGGTCAACATACATATGTTTCGATGCGGATCGACGAGAGGATCACGATGGTGCTATTAGTTTGTTCCTAGCTGGTATACCTTGAAAGTTATTCGAGAAAAACTTCATATATGTAGTGCCGCAATTTTGACTTCCTTTTTGCTCCTGTGACGTCATCTTTGACCTGACCTGAAAATGACCTCAATAAAAATTATAGACCTTATCCGTGTGTACCCTGCACCGTTTACCGCTTGTCGCTATCTTGCTTTATTCTCGAGATCTCGCTGTCGATCCCGCTCGTCACGTGACCTAAGGTCAACTTTTGACCTTTCGACCTTTCGATGTCAACATACATATATTTCGATGCGGATCGACGAGAGGATCACGATGGTACTATTAGTTTGTTCCTAGCTGGGATACCTTGAAAGTTATTCTAGAAAAAACTTAATATATATGTAGTGCCGTAATTTTGACTTCCTTTTTGCTCCTGTGACGTCATCTTTGACCTGACCTGAAAATGACCTCACTAAAAATTATAGACCTTATCCAATTGTACCCTGCACCGTTTACCGCTTGTCGCTATCTTGCTCTATTCTCGAGATCTCGCTGTCGCTCCCGCTCGTAATAATGGACAGGTCATAAAAATGACCTGACCTGAGGTCAACGCAGGGCGATATCCACTTTTTTATTTTCGCATATGAATGAAAATTGATAAGGCTTTAATCGTCATCAGACAAAATTGCAACTTTCAGTGGGGAAAACATCAAGGTCACCCTTCGAAAAATAGGTCAAAAGGTCACGTGATCAAAATTTTCAAAAATTGAAAATCCGAGATAGCCAAAATCTTTGTTGGCTGATTGTGAGTTGAACCATATAAAGTTTTTACCGTAGAAAACCAATAGTTTCTGAGTTATAGGCCGCCAAACATAGGGCTGCAGCGCGACCTGCTGGAATTGCCCGAGGCTATATCTCGGAAACCGTTGTTCGAAGGAAAAAATCCTTGCCACAGCTGGCTTCCCCGCCCATCACAACCCCTTACACCAGTTTTCAACGAAAAATAAAATATGAGGGTGCAAATTTAATTTTTTATTTGTCGATTTGTCGTGGAACGCCCCCACTGTGACCGTACCTGGTATCAGTGACCTCAAATAGCAAAATATGTGTTTGACAAACATTTCCCCATCGATTAATTTCAATGAAATACACTTTACTCGATTTTACAACGCATTTCTTGAAATGCCTGTAAACGGTGAAAATTCGACATTTGACCTGACCTGTGACGTCTTCGGTTTGACCTAGGTCAATGAACTTGGGTCACAAGGTAGTTCCCAGTTGGGGCTATCCAACACCGTTTGCTGCTTGTCGCTATGTCGCGTGGTTCTTGAGATCCTAGGGGGCAAATTGCCCCCCCCCCCCCAACAGGGCGCGTTGCTCGGCAGACCCCAACGGGCCGCAGACTAATATCATAGCGTATGCAGTAACTACCTCTTACTGGGCTGAAAGTATGCCGATCTGCTTGTGTGAATAAGTCGAAGGTAGTTTTGGTCCCAATTCATACATTGGTAAATGTGGTATTGTACCACTGAAAATATCTTATGGTGCCAGCCCCAGGCTTAGTGGAGTAACGTAGGCACCAGCCATAGCTTATCGTTCTTGCTATCTCTCTAAGCTATCCGTTTATCATAAAGATTATTTTTAAAAGTCTAGTTGCAATATCAAGTCACAATTGTCATGGGTTTTAGCCGTCATTGAACTGACTTGTCAGGCTAACAAATGGCCTATGACCTTAACCCGCGCTCCACTGGGGGGGGGGGGGGGCTATTCATAGCCCCCTCCCGTTTTTCTGCAATAACTTCCGAACCGCTTGACGTATCGACACGTCAAACTATCAGTACCTTCGGCTGCATCAATTTGTCACCTTGTGTCAAAATATGAACTTCGTAGCTACCATAGTTCGCCCGAAAATGACGTCAGAGTGACGTCATGTTCGGCCGATTTCGACGCAAAACATTGAACCACGGCAATCGCTTCCAAGAGCTCAGTTTTCAAGCTAGATCCAATTTATTTAAAGGGACCCTCCCACCTTCAAAAAAGTTTATGAATTGGCATGAAAGTGATGTCGCTCGGTTCAGAAAGAGCGAAAACGAATATCTACCAAATTTCATCGAAAAATATTCACCGGTTTTCAAGATATTAGACTTTTACTTTTGTTTACTTTTTGGGATCTCCGCTGTTCCTAGCGACTTTATTTAAAAGTGCGGCATTTGTTGCGCGCAACGAAGCATATACCACCGCGTGCTACAAAACGTTTTAGTCAAACATTTAACGGACGTTCGAAAGCCTGATGACGTCATCAGATTCCCGTAATGGTTAAGAGATAGGGACCACGCTGGTCCCACCCTGCAAGTAAAGGGAAGAAATTTCTTGAACACCATAAAGCTGCGGGGGTTGCGACCGGGATAAATGGTGGTTTCTGAGCCAGGCCGCAAACTTGGCTATCTCAACTCAAAACTAATGTTAAGGTGGGAGGGTCCCTTTAAATGAGATGACTCAAAATGGACTGCGCTATCAAACTGGTATTCCTGATTTTCAAAATTATGAACATTTTGAAAATTATATATAATAAAAATCAAAATTTATATTTTTATGCTTTCAATTTTTTTTCTTTTCGAAAAAAAAACGGAATATATGTGATAGAACACAGGCTTATGACTTACTCTCGCAAGTGTTAGCTAAATATTTTCAAAAATGGCCAAGTTATACGCATTATTGCAAAAATTTCACAATTATAAATTTTTCAAATCAATTTCTAAGTACGTATTTGACATCTTAAACCAATATAAATAGCACCATCGTGTTTCTGAGCCCAAACTGCATCCAATAGACACCTTTTTTGTTGAAAAAAATTAAAAATTCAAAACTTGACCTTTTTTACCTGAAAGTGACCTGGCCTAAGCTAAATTCAACTCAAAATGACCTCAAATGACACAAACGACATCAAATTCAAAATATTTGGTCTAAATAGACCAAATATTTTGTGTCACGTGGCCGATGCATGACATAATATTCCCGTGACCTGTGTTGACCTGACCCTGACCTGAAAATCAAAGTACAAGTTTGGTACCCTCAGGATATCTAAAGCATCTGTTCACGAGTGTGTAAATCAACAATGAGCCTGATCTGACTTGTAAGACGGCGGCCAGAGCCCAAAATGTGAACAAGCCAAAATGCTAATAATTTTTACTTTGACCTGACCTGTGACGTCATTGGTGACCTTAAGGTCAATGAAATTAGGTTTCGCTCGACAGTTTTTCCAGGGCTATCAGACGCCGTTTGTATTTTGACGATCGGCCCAGTAGTTTCGGAGTTAGGAGGGGGGCTATGAAGAGCCCCCCCGCACTTGGGTCTGCGTATAACACTGCAGACCCCCAGTGCGTATCCCCACTGCAGCGCCCCACTGCAGTGGGGCGCTCTTTTTCCCGCCAACCTCTGCCTCAATCAGAGGTCAAAGGGCTGGGGAGTTCGACCAACCTCACTCGTGATCTCGCATATCGTCAGCTGCTGCAAAAAGGCCCATACGGGTAACAGTTGAACCAAAATAATAATCTATGTTCTGCTGGAAAAAATCTCGATCGTATTGCGACTGCGTTTTATTAAAAAAATGTGTGTAACATGCTTACCTTGATATGCTGGAGTGCTGGAACTTCGATGAAATAAGAAAGCGGATACGGCTCGAAGTTTAGAATTGCAGTCACTGGCCAGGCGCATAGCAGCAGCCACAACAGCGAAATAATTATCATGGTGACTGGAAGTGGTTCAGTGCTTCAGATGAATACTGGTTTTGCGGATTGAAGGCGGGTGAAAAGCAAATAAGTTGCTATCAAGAGAACGTCTTTGCCACTGATCAAGACATTCTAACCAGTAATTCAAGTTATCGAAGATAACTCAGATCGAAGATGCTTGTGGTTTTTGATCAGATTTTGAAAACTGTTTTTCAGCACCCGTTTTTACACAACTATAATGTAGGTCTTCACAATGCAGCCACGCGACACTAAAATGAGCCTACTATCGCACAGAGACCGCCTCGCAGCACCGACCACACAGTAACAGTCACCGCTCAATCGTCGCCCGTGTCATGTGTGGGGCTCGGGTTTTATAGAGCCTCGTTTCCTATGCAGTAACGGGCGGACTGTGTACTGTGTCTCGATCAGAAGGGTGATCGTATATAAATCGTCACCGTTTTGACTGGAGACGCGTCTGTGGTCATGAGCTCAGTGACTCCCCATCGCCGGGACTCGAGACATGTCTTATAGGTGATACAGGACAATGTGAATTTACTGACCTTGTTTGTCATATAGCAGCACAGAAACAACAATGATCTGCGTACTCTTATTGACAAACAACGTGATGCAAATATATTGAGTTGGAATCGCTCAAACTTTTGGGTGGTACCACCGACTCGAAAACATACATTTTAATGCAAATAATGCAAAGTCGTGGGCGTGTAGGGTTGAGGAGAGAGAAAAAGAGAAAGAGAGAGATAGAGAGAGAGGGAGAGAGAGAGAGAGAGAAAGAGAGAGAGAGAAAGAAAGAGAGAGAGAGAGAGAGAGAGAGAGAGAGAGAGAGAGAGAGAGAGAGAGAGAGACAGAGAGAAAAGAGCGGATATTATTATGTCTTTTGCACTGAAAACATTTTTATCTATAGGTATGCTGTTTATATGTATGTCAAACGACAATTAGCACCGGTAGGCGCGGGCGGGTGCCCTAGTAGGAAAAATTAAGTGTGAATATGATTACAAATTATATATCATATTAGGTATCATATATTATGTTATGTGTACCAACAATGCAATTCAGTTAGAATGATGTGACGAATTTGTATTACCTATCATACCCAAGACGATGCAAAGAACAAGCGTGCCGCCATTGGTGCGTTTAATGCCTGACTAAATGAACATAATTTACAGCTTAGTGCCACACTTTTTCAAACGAAGCATGACGAAACAAGACAGAGTGCGCCCGGCTCTCGCCAATCGGAGAACATAACTCCTATGAACCCAATGACAGCGGCGGCGAATTTATGAGCTGATGAGCACCAGAACAAGCTACTCCGGGTCGCCGGGAAGACGTTAGTGGAGCGATACATATCCGTGTTGGTCAAATGAGCACCTGCCTCATACTTCATATCAAGAACTCCTGGCACTAAACCTCGCCCGTATTGGTGTTTTGCCAGCCGCCGGAACGTATAAGAAGGGGTGAGGGGTCCGTTGCACCCCCCTTTCCGTTTCGCCTCTGATCGAGCTAGAGCTTCGCGGAAGAAAAAAGTGTGTCGCCCATGACGAGAGGAAGCCGATGATACCCAATTTTAAGGTCCTAGGTTGACCTTCCAGGTCAGGTCAATGACCTGAGTCGGGAAAATCGGGACCTGTTAGAAAGTCGCAAAGTGTGGCTGCCATGGGGGTTTTCGGGGTGCTGATCACGAACATCGTGTTAGTTTTGATCACAGATGATGTCTTAAAGCAGTAAGACCAGGTCAGGTCAGGTCAGGTCAGGTCAACCAGTAGGGGGTTTGTCCGGTACTCATAGTAGGTGTCAACCGCCTCTGACAGCTTCTTCACCCGCGCACCGCTGGGCTATTCTGCCATACGCGCCCTGCTGGGGGGGGGGGCAGATTCTGCCCCCTGTCTAACTTCCGAACCGATGGTCGTAAAAAGACGGGGAAAACGGCAATCGAAAGCTCTCAACAAGGCAGATCTCTACAGCCCAATTTTTTTGCTTAAGTAGGTCAGAGGTCAGGTCAAGGTCAGGTCAAGGGTACAGAATGCAAGTTTCTACAGTATCGGCGTGCACCGTAGTTGCCGAAGAATGGATGGAGACTGATTGCCCAAAACGTGTTCTTAGGCTACCAAGACCATATTCGTTGCATAAAATATCATTCAAAGGTCAAGGTCAAGGTCAGGTCAGGTCAGGTCAGGTCACCAAAAACAAAATATATTTTGAGAAGGGCATGTGCGACACATGTTTTATGGATCATTTTACTCATAGAATTCAATAGGCACACTCAATAAGTGATATGGACCACAACTGGATGAATTTCAGGTCGAGGTCAGGTCAAGGTCAGGTCAAGTGAGGTCAATTTTGAAGTTGGTTGTTAAGGCGTAAAAAGGTGTCTATCTGATGCAGTTTTTCACGTCGAATCGAATGGTGCTATTTTTGTTTCCGTACGAGGTCTAGAACTTCCAAAAAATCATTTTTTTTTTCAAAAAAAAATTGTCTGTCGTGACGTCATAAAATTTTGAATAACTCCCACATTTTTGAACCGATTTTTCTAAAAATTGTTATGTAGGTGCACATAGACCACATCTCTGACATATATTCCGGGTTGTTTTTTCGATACACTCAAAATTTTGGATTTTATAATTATTTTTCCAAAAAAGTCAGTTTTTTGAAGAATAAAAAAGTGGGTCAAAATCCAAAATTAAAAAACCGAGATGGCCATTTGATAGACAAAGTAAAATCACGTATAACTTTTTTGTTACAGCTTGATTCCTTTAAAAATAAAGATGTTAGCGGCGTTTGAAATTTTGCCGTTTTTGAGGCGAAAATGGCGAACATGACGTCACCAAAACGTCATTTTCTCAAAAAATTTCCGACGGATTTCGCTCAAATTTTCAGGGAACGTGTCAAATTAATGTATGATAAGGTACTGCAAGTTTGACGTCGTTGCCGTAACGCGTTTAGAAATTATTGGCGAAAAACGGGAGGGGGGCAGATTCTGCCCCCCCCCCCCAGCGGGGCGCGGGTTAACATGTTACGAAGGCACCAAAACTTCTTTCGTAAATGTTCAAATTGTTGCTAAATTCGAATTCAGCTAAAAATTAGGCTAGAAATGTAGATCTCGAAAAAGTAAACCGAGGTCATCAAAAGTCAATGACCTGACCTGACCTTCAGCTGACCTTGAAACCCACCCTGATGCAAGTGAGCAACATCATATCACATGTTTGAACGCTTGAAACCACGAAAAGGCTGCAAACGCGCGGCTAATGCGAGCCCCGACATACGCCGAATAGCGATTCCGGCCAAACGTGGTCTCGAAAAGTGAACAGGTCAAACAGTAATTGTAACAGGTCAAAGGTCATTCGGGTCAGGGTAATGAAAGTTTCAGAGTAAGTGTAAAATTAATTAAAGTGAGGGTACTAAGCGTTTCGTCACAAATCGGCCGCTATTTACGCGAGTTCAGGGGGGTGTCACTACTTTGCTTCGCCATAGGTACATTACTGATGTCATTGGTTTCGATCCCGGTGACGTCAGTGCTGTCTACATCCGGGAACTTATTGCACTTGGTTCTCATTAGAGGTGGTCATATTGTTTTGTCTCGCGACGACACATTTGCGTCATCGGGATCGAAACTGGCTGTAAACAAATCGCTCAGTGTCGCTACCTACTATATATGGCCTTGCGCGAGTTATTCGCGAAAAATCGAGGGGGTACGTTCGACCCTCAATCCCATTCCCTATACGGGCGAGGGTTAAAAAGCGGGCTGACACGTGAGAGCTGGATGCATATGTATGTTTTGAATTAATTGTCTTTGATAAGAGAGAGAAAAAATCTTAACAGCGGCAAATATCAAGAAATATTTTTGAACAACGTTATGAACATAATTTTTGTGTCTCGTAAATCAACTTTGCAAACAAAATCAAGAACTAGTAACTGCCGATGTCCGATTTCATTCAGTTCATCCCTTTCCTCCCTCTCCCTCCCCCTCTCTCTCTCTTTCTCTCTCTCTCTCTCTCTCCTCTCTCTCTCTCTCTCTCTCTCTCTCTCTCGCTCTCTCTCTCTCTCTCTCTCACCTCCCAGTCGTCCAGCAGCGCCGGGTGTATGAAGAAGTTGGTCACGAATCGGACGAAGTTGAGGCCGTACCCGCTGACTGAGTTCAGACAGGCGAACAGCAGTAGCAGAGGTGTGGTGATCCTCATCGTGTCAGGTCACCAGGAGCGGCAGGTCAGCGGGTAACGGCAGGTCAGCGGGTAACGGCAGGTCACTGCGAGCTCGCCGTCTGGTCACAGAGGCCCCTGAAGTGCTCGTCGGGAGCGCAGAAACGAAGTATGTGGTGGGACGAGCGTCTGATTAAATACCACGACGAGCTTCCTTATTGGCCACTGAAGAGTGACGAATAGTGACAGAGGACGAACGACTGACGATTGACGATTGACTTCTGACTATTGACCGCTGACGATCGACGACTGAAGAGTGACGATTGACGACTGAAGACTGAAGACTGACAACTGATGACTGAAGACTGACAAGTGACGACTGAAGACTGACGACTGACGACTGAAGACTGAAGACTGAAGACTGTGGCTCAACCTAATGCTAGCGAATCGGAAGCGCGATGCAGTCGATTTCTTATTCACCACACGCCTCAGGCCTCGGACGCAGATCCGGAGAGTCGATTGTCTTGACCTGTGAGCTCCGAGACAATGCCAGGGCCGGGCTCACTAGTCGGAGACGGCCGAAGATACCAGCGCCACAGAAGGAACTGAGAGTAGACGGAGACCACCGCACGCTTTTAGACTTGGGCTATGGCAGATCAGGTGTCGGTAGACGGGCGTGCTTCGGATAGCGATTGACGGAGCCGTCTGAAAAGAACTGAGGATAAGTGCGTCGCCCGACCGGTGTCATTCAGTGGCAGCAGACCTACCGCTGTTCGGATTTCCATAGAATCCCTCAAAGTGGGAGGACGCCAGTCAAAACATTGAAAAATGAGACACTGGTGGATGGGCAACGGTGACTTTGCGGTTTAGCTTCTGTTTAGGAAGTCGTGTTCAGTCAGAATGTCGTTCCTGGCACACTTTTATGATTTACGGTAAGCAGGGGCGGATAAATGCAGGCTGATTGGTCAGTCAAAAAGAGTTGGGTTGGGGTGGCTTATACCTACAGTGTTGTGATCCACAGCAAAGGATCTGTTTCGTAGCAAATTACACCGAATGATAGTTATAATTACCCTACACATATGCAAATTATTAGATGTTTATTACAATGCAAGATATTGCATCACCAAAATACCTACTTGCCTGAGAATAGGTAACTGATCACATCAGCCAATGGCAGAGCGTTGTTGATGACTGATGTATTCATTGAAACCGGAACAGAAGTGTCAGTAGCGCCATTAGTAGAAGTGCCAGTAGCGCTGGTAGGAATAGGCAGCGTACCGTGAAACAGGATCCTGTATGATCTCCATTTACTGGTGTTATTGTCCTGTACACAAGTGTGGTCTTCATTGGTGTTATTGTCCTGTGCACAATTATGGTTACCATTGGCTGGCGTTATTGTCCTGTGTACAGATGCAGTCTCCATTTACTGATGCTACTTTCCTATGCAATTGCTTACAACTGCAGTCACCAATGACTGGTGATACGTAGTTCTATGGCCTTGGGTGATACTGTCCTGTGAACAAGTGCCGAGTCTCTAGGAACTGGAATTATTGTCCTGTATAGTGTGTACAATAGTAACTTTGCCAGTAACTGGTGTTACTTTCCTGTGTATAACTGCAGTCTCCAAACTGGTGCTACTGTCCTGTGCATAACTGCAGTCTCTAGGGACTGTTGTTACTGTCCTGTGAATCGCCGTAGTTTCCAGACTGGTGTTATTGTCTCGTGAACAACTAGTCTCTGAAAGCTGCTGCTGCTATTGTGAACAAAACTCGCTCTACCTACGGGGACTGACAATCATGCGGGCGACGGGCGCATTGGAACCGATTCCCTTGTTCATATCACGACAGAGCAGTGTCCGTCAGTCGGCGGACCGGCCCGGTATCACGATATCACCAAAGGTCTGCTTCACACTGACGTAAACAGAGTCTCAGCTCGCTTAGTCGTCTTCTCCATAACACTTCCACGTGTTGAAAACATCTCATAGTGCGTGCTTAGTTATATTTACGGGCAACAAGAACAGTGTGCATTCCGAGTGCAACGTGCGGTTTTTATTGGACTTCAAAGGGGATGCCCCTAATCCTAAAGAAGGTAACAAAGGCCGGTCAGTCACATTCACCGGAACACGGTTCTGCGACTTGGAATTTTTAACAAATGTAGCATTAAATTTGGAGCTCAATGTCTGACCTTTGAACGCGCGACATCCGCCATCCAGTTCCGGATAACCATGAGAAATTCCGGAAACATTCGTATGGATACGCTCGCGAAAGAAAAAAATCCACCGTTACAGGACGATGAAATGTTTCGCTGAACTGACAGTCGCTCAAATTGTAGTCGACGAAATAGATGTCGCTGAAACATAGCATTCGCTAAAATTGATAATCGCTATATTTGATAATCGATGAACTTGATAATCGCTGAATTGCCATTCGCTGAAAATGGTTCGCTCAATTGACGTTCGCTCAAATGACACTCGCTAAAGTCGCTCGCACCGCCGGAACACGTCCCTTAGAGGCTGGAAGCTCAAAAAGGCTCACCACAATAAAGGGAGTGAGCACTCCTTCACGGGATAGAGTGCCTGGTATCCAAATAGCAGATATGTGGAAGTTTCCAAACTTGCTTTCAAAGCACAGTTACATTGCGCCACAATAACAAAATTCCAAAGAAGGCAGCCTGCGACCAAAAGCCAGGCCATCACATCACTGAATAAATAATAACCAACGGTAATCCACAATTCCGTTGAAAACAAACAAAAAAAAGCATTCGCCTGAGGGACAGAAAATATGTTACAATCTGTCTCACAACACACAACACTCAAAGCAACACCGGAGAAAGAGTCTAAGCCAGACCACTTGAAAAGCCTTCTACTCAAAGGTGCACGACCCAAATCTTAGCTAATTGGGGGCTACGGACGCGTAACCTACAGGGTCGTTTGCGGGCCCAGACCTCTGTCGTGGACCTCGGCGAATCAGAAACGAGGACCTCCCGATCGTATCCCTCCTCGGCATATTCTCTATATAGAAACGCAGCTGCGCTGAGAACTAAGGCAGCCGTGAACCGGTAGCCCAACACCCAAAGACACTAGCCGCACAGTGGGCTACCGTTGCTCAAAGCGCCGCCTCAAAGCATATGTCCGGCATTCCCTTCGGTTGAAAAAAGCATCTTTTCACACACCATATAAATAGGAAGTGTTAGGACAGCCTCTGCCAGTATTTTCGCTGTCATCAGATGCTAAAGAGAGCTACCACCGGCTGTGCATCCCAAACGTTCCCCTTCACACAGTACACGCCCCATTTAGGTCTCAAGACTCTTTTCACTGCTTACAACTAGCTAAGATTACTAGAATATAGCGACTAGCAATCACGACTCTCTATCTTTATCAGTCGTTAGTGGCTCCCCATCCTTTGGTACCTACCTCTTTTCCCCTCTTTTCAATCGCCTGCCAAACTCCGCGGTTATCGCTCCATCAGTGACTCTCTCAGGCTTTAGCTGCCCCCTCGCCGTAAATCGCTGTTCTTGAATACTCTCCAATCCATTTACTGACAAGTGACAGCTGCTCTTCCCTATCTCAATCTCTCCTCTTTCTGCCTGCAGTATTCATCTTCTTGCCCTTCGCCGCATCAAGCCACTTTCCCTGCCGTCCTATCCTTTGACCCTCTCTGTACCCTACCCGCTGCCCTCTATCTACCCTTCCCTCCCACCGTCCTACCCGCTACCCTCAGCGGCGGTGATCTCCCCCAGGTCGACCACGAGCCGGGCGCGCAGTTTGAGAGTCTGCGGCTGCTTGTTCTCGCCGGTGACAATGGTGTTTGTGTAGCTGTAATGGAGCAGCAGGGCAGCGGAGCAGCGGCCGCCGGCGGCAGACGGCAGGGGCGTCACGGGGACACGGAGAGCCACCTTGTTGGCCTGACGCCACACGACGACGCTGTGGGCGGGAGGGGGGGGGGGGGGTATAGGGGGTGTTATAGGGGGACACGGAGAGCCACCTTGTTGGCCTGGCGCCACACCACCACACTGTGGGCGGGAGGGGGAGGGGAGGGGTGTTATAGGGGTTGTTATAGGGTGACTCTGACTCTGAGACACTATATTACTGGGGGAGGGAGGGGTGTAGGGGCTGCTATAGGGGGACACGGAGAGCCACCTTGTTGGCCTGGCGCCACACGACGACGCTGTGGGCGGGAGGGGGGGGGGGTTATAGGGGGACCCGCAGAGCCACCTTGTTGGCCTGACGCCATACGACGACGCTGGGGGAGCGGGGGGGGGGGGGAGTGTTATAGGGGGAGCCCACCGGGCCACCTTGTTGGCCTGACGCCACATCACTACCACCACCACACTGTGGGGAGGAGAATTAGAGGAGATTTATCCGAGGCCATTCATTATATCTGATATCTCAGACAACAAAAACTGTAATATCGAAGTCCTCGAATTACCCACAGTGAGTATCCTAACTACCCTGAAATATTATTTAACTTTTCAGAGCACTCGCAATGATGCACGTTGATACGATTTTGACACTGAGCCACCGTGACAGACCCTAACCTGAGAACAGTCCTGAACTAGACGACCTCCCATTGAGCCCCCTGACTCCCGAGACAGCCCGCTGGTCTGTATGCTACCTCTGACCGACAATGGGACCGTCCCTGATCTAGACGACACTTCTATGACCGCTCTGACCCCCACGATATCCTTAATTGACCTGACATGGGGTCATCCCGGAACTATCATAGCACCACATGACCCAAATACGGCCGTAAATGACCTCTGACCCCGCACGACACCGTTAGATGACCTCTGACCTGGGGTCGTCTCGGAACTCGGAGGAGCTCGGCGCGTCGTCAAACTCGGCCGAGTCGTCCCGGGGCGCCAGCACCACCTCAGCGACGGGCAGAGTGAGCTCAGCCGTCTGCTGAATGTCCGGCTCCACTCTGTGGGAACAGAGGTCAACAGAGATCAACAGAGGTCAACAGAGATCAACAGGGTCAAAAGGGGTCACCAGGGGCCAACAGGGGTCAATAGTACGGTGAAGGTCAACAGACGTAAGCATAGTCTAACAAAGGTCAGTGGAGGTCAGCATTGGTCAACAGAGGTCATCATAGGTCGGCAGAGGTCATCATAGGTCGGCAGAGGCCATCATACGTCGGCAGAGGTCATCATAGGTCGGCAGAGGTCATCACAGGTCAGGAGAGGTTAACAGTGGTCAAAAGAGGTCAGCAGATGTCAACAGAGGTCTACCGTACGGAGATTAGTAGATTTCAACAGAGGTAAACAGAGTTCAGCGGGCGCGGAGGGCAGAATGGGCTAGTCAGTCTGCTGAGCGTGCGGCTCCACCCTGCAGCGAAGGTCAGAGTTCCGTGAACCGTGGGAATTCTCACCTCTGCAGTGTGACCGGTCTCAGCAGAGAACTCTCTTGGTGTTCGGGGTCTGGGTTCTCACCTCTGTAAGGTCACCAGTCTCCGCAGAGAACTGTGTGAGTTCTCAGTTCTCACCTCTGCAGTGTGACTGGTCTCTGCAGAGAACTCTCCTTGTGCTCACGGTCGGGGTTCTCACCTCTGCAGTGTGACCGGTCTCAGCAGAGAACTGTGTGGGTTCTCACCTCTGTAGGGTGACCGGTCTCATTAGAGAACTCTCCTTGTGCTCGGGGTCGGGTTCTCACCTCTGTAAGGTCACTCGTCTCAGCAGAGAGCTGTGTGGATTCTCACCTCTGCAGTGTCACTGGTCTCAGCAGAGAGCTCTCCTTGTGCTCGGGATCGGGGTTCTCCTGCAGTTCCTCCTCGTCGGGCTCGCGGTACTTCTCAAGACGAATTGTCATCTGAGACACACAATGACACGGTTTCTGTGTCAGCATCAGTCGTAGATCGCTGACACCTATTATGACATGGCGTCAGGTGTCCGTATATCAGCGGTAGGTCGCCATCTGACACTTCGCAGCAACACAATAGCAATGGTCGTTTACCACTTGACACACAGACCACACTGCGTAGATACTGCGTTAGCCGATCACATATCTCGAAAACGCCAGGACCAGCTCACCGGGCAGGTGCTGGGGTTGCCAAGGGTCATCATTGGGTAGACAAAAATAGGTTGCTGACTGCTATACTGTCACCAAGAAGATGGTGGTTTGGATGTGATTTTCATCGGGTATTTGGCAGGGTCTGATATTCTTCTCATCGGGCAGGATGACGGGTTGGGTAAGGAATGATTCTCACCGGGTAGATGGTAGGGTTACTGAAGGTCAACACGGTCTCAGTCTGCTGTCCCACCAGCAGCTCGCCGACAGACAGAATCTTCACGTCCGGTACGTGGTAGCTGGCGGCAGTCAAAAGGTCAGGGGTCAGAGGTCGTCTGTCGGCCGGATTAGGTCATGTGGGTCAGCGCAGTTCGACGAGCCGATCCGAGTTCGTTCGCAACTCTAGATCTTAGGTCGGAAACTGAAGTGAATCAAATAATCAAATTTCGATCCTAGAAATATGCCTGGGCCGAAAATATTTATTTCCACAGAAAACTAAGCGACAGCACCGAGCATATCATCCCAAACGAAGACTGCTACCCACTAGGCGTTGAGCTGGATCCTGAACTTGATGCTGATGCAGCTGTACTCTGGCTTGCTGAGGTTGTGGTCGCAGTAGCGGCAGCGCATGGAGCGCTTCATTTCGGCGTGCTTGTGCTGCGGCTGGAGCCGATCCTGGCGCTCCGTCTGCAGCTCCGGGAACGCCAGACGCTGGTCCAGCGTCGTCACTGGGAAAACAGGCAGACATTACTGCTGGAGGAACGACAGACGCTGGTCCAGCGTCGTCACTGGGGAACAGATAGACGTCACTAGGGGAACTTATAGACAGACAGAAACACATCACTGGGGGAACGCCAGACGCTGGTCCAGAGTTGTCACTGGGGGACAGACAGACAGACAAACATTACTACCGGGGGAACGACAGACGCTGTTCCAAAGTTGTTACTAGGCGAGAGATACGGGTGTGCTGTTACCGGGAGACACGTCAACTCAGTGGCGACGGTAAATGCTGAATGACTCTGGGATGAATCGACTTGGGTGTTTGAGATCACAAGACACAGAAATGCAATATCTTAAAAAATACACTTAAAAAGTCATACGCATTAATAGAAATACATACGTAAAGTACGTATCAATAATATCACGATTTCTACCAAACACTTAAATTAGCGTCGAGACTGATAACAACCATCGTAAAGTGTCTACGATTTTTACTACGTGAATTCAGCTACGTTTGTAACGAGATAGTTGTCGTTTCGCTCACCAGATGTCAGTACGAGCGGCTCGGTGAAAGCCGACTCCGGCAGCGCGTCATCAGCCTCGTCAAAGGGCTCGGCCGCCATCTCCTTCAGGCTTTTAGCGTCCAAGTCCTGGGGAGGGGGAGGGGGTATTGTATTCGTAGGGTCAGTGGGACAGACGGCTCTGCCATCTCCGTCAGGCTTTTGGCGTCCAGGTCCTGGTATGGTCACAATATGGGTGACTGAAAGATGGACAGGACAAAGTAATCAATACTATCTTCACTTCATACACCATGCCATTTTCATCACCGTTCCGTGCTTCTATCCTCAGGATACTGAAATCCTTCTCCTCCACGCCGCAACCCCCCTCCGGGCTGGACAGGCAACTTTATCTCATGCGGGCTACTCTCTTGGAGCGGCAACGCTGCTTCTGAGGGAGCGCACCCCGTAGCCGGGTGCAGTGAGTGCCTTGGGGCTGGGTGGCCTGTCCTCTGGACGGGCTCAGCCCCGGCGACTCACTAGGGTGCCTGCCCAGACCAATGCCTCCCCCTATATCCTATCATCCTCCCGGCTCTGAAATGGTCTCATTGGACCGAAAGGGCCTAACCCAGTGGTCGGCAGGTCCTCCGGGGTCGTGCCCCCTTTTTTGGCGCCAGGCAGGGCCATTACCCCCACCTACCAGACCCCATTGGTGGTACAACCAGGGTTACTGAAATTCCATACTTTTCCGTGACTCTTTGGGTACCATATCTGCGAGAAACCGCAGGCCCCTTCCCTTGCGGTTTCTCGCAAATATCTCAAAAACGTTGGCACGGAGCGCCACCATTTTGGAACATTTTATCATACATCGTTTCTGCACATGTTGTGAATATTTCAGACCAGAGTCACTCAAGGTCAGGTCACCAGATCATGTCAAGTGACCTCACCTCAGTAAAGACTGCAACGCCTGTTTTAGCTGCATTGAGTAACAGATCTCTTTCAAACTTTCAGGAATTGATAAAGGCAACAACATGTACAAAATTTTTATCTTGGAGATTTGATGTCGGTGACCAAAGTTCAGGTCAATTTCACGCCCTCTCCCATTATCAATGGGAGAGGGCGCAAAGTCAATGGTAGAAAATTGAAAAGCGCCTCTTTTGGACCAGTGTCATTCCTAACACTGTGACACTCTTATTTACAAGTAAACATGACCGCTGAACCGGAAAATTGCACCTATAACCCCACTGTATGTCCCTGAGGTCATTTCAGGTCATGAATGGTATCTAACAGCTATTCGCTAATAACTTTTGATAAAGGCATCCCAGAGCGATGAAAATGCCTTAGATGTGTTCAGCTCGACGATACGGATCGACTGATGTGCAACAAAACCTTCGATTCTTCTCGACGAGAGGAGCACGATGCTGATAAAAGTGAGCTCTTGCAAGTTTTGAGTGAAAGTTATTTAAGAAAAACTATCAGCAAGCAACGTACATTTTGGCAGTTTTTGTCTCCTGCAGGCTAAACTATCTTCGGTTGAGTCTGAGGGCAGGCATCAGAAAAAACGTTAAGAAAGCTATCGAATGCGTTTTTCCGCAGCGCTGTAGCTCTATCCTTTCCTGAGCTATAGGCCAGTTTGTCGAAAATTGTCAAAGGTTGACCTGGAAATTGGCGAAATTTTACGTTCGATGACCTCTGGTGACCTGACCTTTGATTTGACCTAAAAGGTGACCATAGTTTTTTCTTCATCATTTCTTACGCTCTTTCGATCGCCGACTACGGCGTTTCGCTAGTAACCCAGGAGCCAAGTTAATAGGGGGTGTTTAACCTCCATCTCCAGCAGGGCGTGGAAATCCAGGAGCCCCAGCGGGGCGCGGGTTAACCCCCATACGTATAGGGGTAGCGGGTATTTTTCGAGAATAGGTCACGTTAAAAGGGTAGGACCACGAAAAAAAAAAACTGTACCATCGAGCCGATCATTTTTATCTGTCCTGAAAATGGCATGACCTTAACCCGAATAACCGTTGATTTGTGAGATCTTTCTTGAGATCATGGCAGGCCACAAAATCTCACTTCAAGAAGTTACAGCAGGACCCGATTAACTCGGCAGTTGTTATTGACCTATGGAAGGTCACCCAATGACCAACGACCTTTAAATTGGGTAGCAGCGGCTGCTTATCTTCACGGGCAACACGCTCAATTTTTCTGCAAAGCTCCAGCTCAGAGACCGAGATGCTCAGGTCAGGGTGCAATGGAAGACTCCTCTCCCTTGCGTTAGTGACTGTGAAAACGCCAATAGACGAGCGCCGGCTAGTACATGACAGTTACTTTCCACGACTGTACGGAATGGTGAGCAGTTACATGAAAATTGGCATGCGCCAGCTAATCAGTTCATGCTTTGTGCGTTTGACCTCGACTAATCTTTGAATCCTGGGGCACAACAGTTACGATGTTTGTCCCATCAAGGGAGCCGTCAATTCTAAAAAAGATGAGGCTTTCTCAGAGGCCCTCATTACCCCCCGCCGAAGGGCGCCATTACCCCCAAAGGGGGCATGCCCCACCATTTGCCGACCCCTGGCCTAACCCAACAAAAATAAAACAAACATGCCATTTTCGCTTGATATATCATACCAGTAGCAAGTAGCAGCACACAGTCCTATTCACATATTTCTACAGCTCAGGACCCATCTCTAAGCCCAACTCCGAGCAGCCGCACCCTCGCACAAGAGGAAGCCCATACAGGAAGCTGTTGTACACTGTAGTGTCAGCGCCTCCATTCCCTTTACCAACCCCAGTGGAAGGTTGTCAGAACCAAATCCTTTATCTGCCCGACCCGCCAAGCAGCTCTCCTGTCACGGTATAATGCAGCCAGGCCCAGGGCACTAATCGTCCCACCCCCTGACCCACCTTGGCTGTAACCAGGGAGCGGGACGGCGGCAGACCGGCCTGTTTGCGGGTGGCGCGCGCCATGGCGCCAAACTTGCCCTTGCCCTCCAGAAAACGGCGCGTCCTGATGGGGAAAAGAGAGCGAGGAGCGTCATACAGCGGGATTCATAGAACAACATGAGCTCATGAGCACATCACAGAGAAGTATGAAGTGCATTACAATCATTCCCTCGCCTCCAGCTTGACCAGCTTCTTCGATGTATTTAGCTCAAGGCAACTTAAATTCTATCGTCTTGTCTATCTATCCGACGTCTCTATATGACGTCTATCATCTATCTTCACAGTACCAGACTTCCTGGCATTTGTAGGATATCATGCCCCCTGCCCCGGCCACACTCACTTGCCCTGCTCCGCGGCGGACCGCTCCAGTCCTCCCCCCCCCCCCCCCACACACACACTCACTTATCCTGCCGGCCGTATTTGCCCTACTCGGCTGCGGACCGCTCCTCTGCCCTCCCGGTCCCACTCACTTATCCTGCCGGCCGTATTTGCCCTGCTCGGCTGCGGACCGCTCCAACACGGCCAGCGCGCGGTAGTTGTCGGAGAGGGTCGTCAGTCGCTCCGAGTCCGGGTTCTCAAACTCGGTCCACGTGCCCGACGCTGCCGCAAAACAAACGTCGCATCTCAGAATATACAAGGGTGTGTAACTTTGTGCAATAACGCAAGGTATTATTCGAGGGTTTGTTCAGAAGTTATGATCACAAACAGCACAATGCTTATAAATTCTCGAGCTTGTCTTCCCAATTCTGGAGCTTGTTTCCGCTTAACGTTCCAGTTCGTTCTTTCACAATGATTAGCCGAACGTGCGCAGGCATCTGATTTATTATTTTATAGATGATTTATGGATGAGATGCTTAGCATAGTGCTGATAAACACACTGGCCAAATGCTGACAGACGTTTGGGTATCTATCATAATCAATACCGCAAATTGGTGCAATAGCTTACCGCGACGGTCCCTCTGATCTGCTAGCTACCAGAGTATTATAACGATATCAAGCGATTATATGATTCAATATCGACCGACGACGCTCAGATATCGACAAACGTGCTCCGCAATTAAATGACGTTGGGGTAATACTGACCGACGTTCTGACTGACAATACTGACATTCTAGTGAAACACTGACCAACGTTCTGACTAACGATACTGACATACTAGTGCGACACTGACCGACATTCTGACTATAATACTGACATTCCAGTGACTAGTAATGAGCTACTGACCGACGTTCTGATCGGGCAGCTTGCTGTCGCGCGATGTCCAGCGACAGAATCCGCAGGCCACATAGTAGACCTTCCTGGGCACGATCTTGGTCGGGTCTTCCATACTCGGAGCCTGAGGAACAGAATGCCCTCTGTGAATGCATCATTGATGATAGGCTAGGGAATAATGCTACTCAGTGGGTGTGTTGATGAATTTAACTGCACATGCAAAGATCGAAATATCAATTTGATGTATTGGTTACTTTCATTTGATTCATTGATTATTCATGCAAGTCATCTTTTCTGATGGTTAGCCCCATACTCAATGATGCCAACTATTTGCATCATTTGAAATGTCTGGTCTGATAGACAAGCTTCATTTACTCTAATGGGGTTTCTTCTCCAGCCTGTATAAAATAAAGAATGGCAAAAAAAAAACAAAAAAAAAAACAGTGCATTGCTTAGGCTAGAAAAAAACTTACTTTTCATGAGGTCCGGTCAGAATAACAATCAAAAAGTTATCTGCAGTGCCATTTACTAAGCAGTGGCAGTGATCAGTGGCACAAGATAAATCATTCTTCTTTTCATGAATTTTGGGGTATTTATTACGAGCGAGCGAGCGCAGCGAGCGAAGCGAGTCTTTTCAATATAACGGAAAAATCTCAGTATGAGCGGCCCGGCCCGGCCCGGCCCGGCCTGTAACGCTTTTGAGAGGCTTACATCTCAGCAACCGCTGAACCGATTGGCCTGCGGTCTATTTTGCTGGGTAGCCCCATCCCTTCTACCCCGTAATTGACTACTTTTGATACACCTCAGTGACCGTCGTGGCACGTGCCATGTGAAAAGTCAAGGGTGTTCAAGCTGTTTTGCAAAAGTAGTGATTTTGAGAGGCTCATAGCTCAGCAGCCGCTTGGGCGATTGACTTGCGGTAATTTTTGTAGGGTAGCAGCATCCCTTCTACCAAAAATAGGATACCCTCGATGCATGTGGGTCACCCCCAGTGCACGTGCAAAATACAACAATAAGAGGTGCCAAATTTGTTCTCATTTCAGTAACTCGGTAATTACTGGGGCGATTTCACTGAAACTTGGCATACAGGTAGGCACCCACTAGGCAATGCATTCCCATGTGTTGCGGTTAGGGTGCTACTGCACGTGCGCACGTGCAGGGGGCGTTTCCAGATCTCGAGAACGGCTGGGCCGATTGCGCTCAAATTTGGTACACGGTTGGGGACCGGTTAGTAGGGTGCCGTGCAAAAGTCATTTTGGACCCCGTTTGCACGTGCGCACGTGCAGAATGCCGCTTCCGGATCTCAGGAACGGCTGGGCCGATTGCGTTCAAATTTGGTACACCGCTAGCGACCGGTTAGAGGGGTGCTTTGCACAAGCCCGTTGGAGTACCCTCTCGCCCTTCTGCACGGGCAGGGCTCACTATCTCGCTCGCTCGTTCTTCGCCCAAAAGGCGTTTTACTGGTTGTATTTTTCAGGGGAAGGGATATCATTGTTTCCAAACCTTCATGTGTCAACTTATTGTCCCCAACACACTGTTAAAGGTAGTGTGCCAGCTTTCTTGGACCATATGGAGTTAATGACCCGGATAAGGAGAACCGCATTTTTAGAGCTTATCCATACCTTCAAAACTAATGGAAACGTCTTAAATTCTTCAAATTTTGAGTACCCCAGTGCGAAATTCGCCCCGACGGGTTGTCGGTCGTACCCCAACCACATTCCACACCACTATGAACAATAAATGCACACACTAAAATCGCTATTACCGATAGGCTCATCCAATCGAGTTTCGATAAACCCGTTCATCATCATCTCCTGCGGTTTCGAACACGCCTGTTAGGTGGCTTCTGATGCTCGTCGAGGTCGGAATTTCCAAATACGCGTGGTGCGTCGGGCCGCGCGATCTGACTTCGGCCAAGAAAAATGCGTCAGCTGATCATTGTCATTTCTGCCACTTGCGTGTGGTGAAATGGGGTCATAACTTAAGAGACGGCTGTTTCATATCAATTATTTTACATAAAATCATATTTCAAACCATAAATTAATGTCTGACAGCCAAATTAAAGAAACAATACCAATACAGGCTTACAGTTTAAGTTCGACATTGCGTTGTCTACGATTAGACAGCTGAAAACTCATTCCCGTACGTTGTAACTCTATAATGACCTTTGCTTATTGTCACATGTGCGCCGCATTCGCGATTGTTGCCGACGCCTGTTTGCAGGTCAGCCCACTACAGTTGTTATACATATCGAAAGACCGATAAACTTTTAGGCAAAAAAGGCACTATTCCAGGCCCATTTTTGATTTTTTAGCGATATTAGGTAAAAACAGAAGCTTCTTATCCTAGGAAAAATAAAATGGGAAATCATTGGAAAGTGGCACACTACCTTTAAGTTTTACATTTAATTTTGAGCGTGATGTGCAAATGGCAATTTTAACAAAGCAGAAAACTGCCGAATTAACAACTGACTACCAATGACCAATGACCCTGGAAAGAATCTCAGCTAGGTAGGTAATCAAACTTTCAGCTGGCTTAGAAGTTCCATTCGGACATGCAGCTACATTCCGCACCTGGATGCTGGTGGCCCTGGTGGAGAGGGTGTGGCCACAGGAGGGGCAGTCCTTGCAAGTGGAGCAGCGGTTCTTTTTCAGCCCTGCCTCCACATTGGACATCATCTCCAAGCAGCCACTGCAGTACGTCGAGTCCATCTGGGGAAGAATGCAAGTCACAGGCTGATGCCAATACTCATAATCTAAGCTCATGGATAAATGCAATCGATGTGTGCAAAGTAAGCCTGTCATCTTTTCACACACCAACATCAACAATTAAGATAAATTACCTCCTGCGAGACGCAGTTTCCACATCTTATCTTCTGGCAGTGCCGACAGAAATAAACTCGGTAAATTGGCTTCAAAAAGCCGCAGGAACATAAGTACTTAACACGTTCAGAAAGAAACGCTTCTTGCACGTTTGGTCGCTCCATGTCTGGGTATTTAAAGCCACAACAAATCACAGAAAAATAACAAACTGTTATCTATATTCACCACAGGGCTGTCTCATCCCTATCTCCGTAACGTGTCGTGTGCGACCAATGACGTCACGGCATTGCGGCGTTCTGATTGGGCGGCAGCTCTGAATCGCCCGACTGGTGGTCCCCGCTCGACAAGCGCACGTGCGCCGACTAGACATTTGTAGTGGCATTGACGGCAGAAAAAGTGAGGTAATGCAGAGCTCTGAATATACTTGAATAGAGTCTAAGCCGTTAGTAATACGTAAAAACGTCAGATAGGTTTCTTGTTCGTCTTGATTTGAGCTTTTATGTGATATAACTTTTACCTTAGTGTCGAGGTTGGCAGCTATGTGGGAGAGCCCTAAAGTTGGGTCATTTTCCATAGGATTGCATTACAGCCGTCCGACCCTTCGTACCAGTGACGTCACGGAAATCGCTGCTTCGGCCTAATGAGCATACCTTCTATATAGGGCCTTGTATTCACCACGCCCCAACCCACTTATTCAGCAGGCAAAGGGACTTTGTACATATACGGCGCAGATGTTTCAATCAGGATGTCTGTGCTAAAACGCAGACAGCTTCTATATTCCACAGCCCTCATAAAACTATTTAACATATTATGATTCTGGAAAAATTGTTGTTTAAATCATTACATTTTTCATGTAATCCAGTACTTCCATTCCAAGAAAAATGTTTACAAGTAGAATTTCTAAGGAACTGAACTGAGCTACGTGATTTGAATCATCAGTTCCTGTCTTATGAAATCGGATTTTAGTGGGAAAGGAATGGATCAAAAAGGGACATAAATGTGAGCAAAATCATATTTTAAACACAATTTACAGCGAAACGTGCAAACCTGAATCTTCAAGGAATAAATACTCACAATGAATCAGAATACACTTTTCATATTTCATCCATCCCTGGTAGGTGATGCTGTTCGCAGCAGCCTTCCTCTATAGATGTCGCTGTCGGTGCCTCCTCGGACCCGATCGATGTGGCCGGGGCTCAGCTGCCGCCGGCCAGCCGACGGCGGCGGCTACGTTCTGTTTACGCCTGAGGCAGTCGCGGTCCATGTGGTCGCCGGGAGGGTGGAGGTCGGCGGGTCGTCTCTCGAGCGTGGCGTGGCCGGTGTTTGAGAGTGACAGGGAGAGGGTATATCGGTGTGAAACGAGTGTGGATATTTGAACCTGTGCCGAACGTGGAAAGAAGCACATTACACGTCAACGTGGCTTTGTTGTGAACTGACAGCTCGGCAAAACCACCAGCGGAGCCGGGCGCATGACTGTGATTGACAGAAGACACTGTTTGAACGATCTTCGCCTTAGCCGTTTGTAGATTGGATGCTCGGACTCACGGTGCGCCCTACGGTCTCTGGGGTGAATGAGTGTCACCTGACAGCGGCGTTAGCCTGACCCATGTCAGATGACAGAAATAATGACTGGCAGAATGATGACAGCATCACGTCATCGGTGACGGACATCTCCACCCTGTGCACTCTGACATTTCCCCGAGAGGGCAGCCGAGGCTGAAGCGCAGGCGGTGTTCAGTTACACGTGGTACCCGGTGCCCCCACGGTCCTGCGAAAGCCTCAGCTGTAGCCGATGACGACCAAGGAGATCGTGTTGGAGGGCGGGCCGCCGTGGGGCTTCCGGATGCACGGGGACGGCGCCGCCGGAACGCCCTTTCGGATATCTCGGGTGAGTGCGGGAGTGGGGAGAGAGGGATGGAGAGGAAGGGGAGGGGAAGAGGAGAGGGGAGGGAGAGGACGGAGAGAGAGAGAGAGAGAGAGAGAGAGAGAGAGAGAGAGAGAGAGAGAGAGAGGTGTTTGAACCTAGCTAAGCGTTTTGATTACTATTAAAGGGACCCTCCCACCTTCAAAAAAGTTTATGAATTGGCATGAAAGTGATGTCGCTCGGTTCAGAAAGAGCGAAAACGAATATCTACCAAATTTCACCGAAAAATATTCACCGGTTTTCAAGATATTAGACTTTTACTTTTGTTCACTTTTTGGGATCTCCCCTGTTCCTAGCGACTTTATTTGGAAGCAATAGTTTGGCAGCTGAAAGTGCGGCACTTGTTGCGCGCAAAGCAGCATATACCACCGCGTGCTACAAAACGTTTTAGTCAAACATCTAAAAATCGCTAGATATCTGCGCTGACCAGTGGCGCGGGAACTTCTTCCAGACTCGGGGGGGGGGGGGGCTGAATCATAATAGAAATCAACCTAGGGTACCCCCAAATCTAGTTTTCTCACCGGTTTTAGGCCACTTATTTTTCAGACCTTGTCCTTTTCAACAACAAAAAAAACACACGAAAATATTTTCAAAAATTGAGGTATTCCGTCTCAGCTGAGTGAAGAAACTACCGTTTTGGCAACCTGGAGTAAAGGTTTTAATCTGCCAAATGAGTTGCCGAGCCAGTGAAATAGGTGGATTTTTCACTTACATGCTTTCTTCCTTTGTGACCCACAACCCCTAATTTGGGGAGGACAAGCTGCCCAACGGTTCCTGGCCTCATAAAACGTTGTGGGGCACCGCCCCCACGGCCGCAGAGTTGTGGGGGCAAGCTTCCCCCACTGCCCCCTCCCCCGGTTCCCGCGCCTATGTATGAATCTATGAAATTATGTTGGTAGATCTCCGATTTCGATTCCTCCAGCTGGGGGGGGGGGGGCTCAAATACATTACGAGCCCCCCCAGCCGAAAAGCTGGGGGGGCTCAGCCCCCGCTAGCCCCCCCGGTTCCCGCGCCACTGGCGCTGACGTCACACATTCATAGGGGTATTCCTATGCATTAGCCCCTCTGAATCAAAATGCTGCAATTTTGAAATTCAATATTTCCGATTTAAGGCATTTCTCGATGTTGTGAGTGCCGAAACCGGTAATTGTGAGCCAGGGACCCCATTTTGGCTGTCTCAACTCAAATCTAATGTTAAGGTGGGAGGGTCCCTTTAATACGAGTACAGTTCAAATATCTATTTTCATATCATCGTAGATTGGGATCCCGTATTGGTGGACAGTTTACGTCAGATTTAGGTACCTTAGTTCGGTTTAGTTTAGATTACTTAGTGAACAAAAGAAAACATTAACGGGCATGGCATGGGCTCCCAATGATGGGAGCAGTGAATTATAAAAGGTAAATAGAAATATAAAGGTCCATGCATTTTAGTGCTCGATAATTTAAATTTTACCGAGGCTCGTTTTCTGTGTTACCTACTCATCAGATGTTTTTAGTGGGTTTACATGCAGACACCCGACACAGATCTCCCCGCCGCCGAGACTGTTTTATTAGTCGCAAATCACGTCTCCTTTCATCCCTCTCACGGCTGCGCGGGACTGACCGCCACGGCCCGAGATCAGAGACGATGAGCCGTAGTCCCGGTCTGGCCGACTCGTCTCGGTCAGGGAATGGTAACTGTAACCAGATGGAGGGCTGGGAGCAGTCACGTCTGTCTGTCTGCCAGGGTTGTGGTGGACGGGGGGGTAGAGGGGGGCAGAAAAATGTCAGGTGTATCACTGCAGTCGCGGCAGGGCACTGGGCGGTGGACGTTGTGCCGTTTGGAACTAATGGTGGCGGTGATTTGTGATCTTCAGTAGATTCGACCCACTCTGCTCTTCATTCTTCGACCATTGGTTATTCTGTCTGTTCGTCTGTCCGTCTGTCCATCTGACAGTCTGTCTGTCCGCCTCTCCGTCCGTGTGTCAGTTCTGTTAGTGTTGAAAATCAAAATTAAATAAATTGGGCCGGCTCTCTGGTTCGACTTAAAAAAAAACTTGAATATGTACGAGCAGGCTTCAATTATATTGGTGGCGGCGGTGGTAGCAGATAACACAGTGGCGGTACACAACCTCACACGGCGGCGGTGGCGACAGAACTCCGAACGAAATACGACAACAAAGCGAAATCGGCGCGGTTAGGAAAATTATTCACGTGCATAAAGTTGCATTATATTCACATTCAGATTCGCGTGCACATTCGCGGACCCCTCAGATTTTGCTCAAAATTGCACAGCTTATAGATTTTGAGCTCCTGATTGCGAAAATCATGTTTTTATTTCACGCCGTCAAGTGGTTCTCAAAATATTCACATTTGTTTTTCTGCTAACATATTCAGGACCGTAACCCTTATTGGAAAAATCGGACCCCACCAAACTTCTCAAAAACTGCTGAGATGATGTAAACATTAGCGCTGATTCCAAAAACTGATTTTTACTTAACGCCATCCCATAGTTTTCTCAGGATGAGCATCTAAAGTTCAAGGTCGTTCAAGGTCATGTACCTTTTCTCACCTTTTGGCGCTATTTGACACGTGACAGCTTTATATTTATGATGGACATTCGCACTACCTCCTACAAAAACAATATACTGAAATCCAAGGGGCGTTGCTGTACCAAAATGCAAAAAAAGCATCAAAACCTCTTTCATACAGCTAACAGTTAAATACAAGGGATATTCGAATTTGCCACACATAAAGCAAATTTGTCGGACCTGGTCGGACCCCTCCGATATCGTTCAAAATCTCAGGAATGATGCTCCTTGACCTCCTGAACATGAAAATGGTACTCCCTTTGAACGCCGTCAAGAACTTTTCCAGATATACGCATCCATGCACATTCAAATTGCCTAGGTGTTGCATATGCACGTTCGGCGGACCCCTCCGATTTCGTTCAAAATCTCAGGAATGATGCTCCTTGACCTCCTGAACATGAAAATGGTACTCCCTTTGAACGCCGTCAAGAACTTTTCCAGATATACGCATCCATGCACATTCAAATTGCCTAGGTGTTGCATATATGCACGTTCGGCGGACCCCTCCGATTTCGTTCAAAATCTCAGGAATGATGCTCCTTGACCTCCTGAACATGAAAATGGTACTCCCTTTGAACGCCGTCAAGAACTTTTCCAGATATACGCATCCATGCACATTCAAATTCCCAAGGTGTTACATATGCACGTTCGACGGACCCCTCCGATTTCGTTCAAAATCTCAGGAGTGATGCTCCTTGACCTCCTGAACATGAAAATGGTACTCCCTTTGAACGCCGTCAAGAACTTTTCCAGATATACGCATCCATGTACATTCAAATTGCCAAGGTGTTGCATATGCACGTTCGGCGGACCCCTTCGATTTCGTTCAAAATCTCAGGAATGATGCTGCTTGACCTCCTGAACATGAAAATGGTATTCCCTTTGAACGCCGTCAAGAACTTTTCCAGATATACGCATCCATGCACATTCAAATTGCCTAGGTGTTGCATATGCACGTTCGGCGGACCCCTCCGATTTCGTTCAAAATCTCAGGAATGATGCTCCTTGACCTCCTGAACATGAAAATGGTACACCCTTTGAACGCCGTCAAGAACTTTTCCAGATATACGCATCCATGCACATTCAAATTGCCTAGGTGTTGCATATGCACGTTTGGCGGACCCCTCCGATTTCGTTCAAAATCTCAGGAATGATGCTCCTTGACCTGAACATGAAAATGGTACTCCCTTTGAACGCCGTCAAGAACTTTTCCAGATAGACGCATCCATGCACATTCAAATTGCCAAGGTGTTGCATATGCACGTTCGGCGGACCCCTCCGATTTCATTCAAAATCTCAGGAATGATGCTCCTCGACCTCCTGAACATGAAAATGGTACTCCCTTTGAACGCCGTCAAGAACTTTTCCAGATATACGCATCCATGCACATTCAAATTGCCTAGGTGTGGCATATGCAGTTGCACGTTCGGCGGACCCCTCCGATTTCGTTCAAAATCTCAGGAATGATGCTCCTTGACCTACTGAACATGAAAATGGAAATGGAATGGAATGAAAGGGAGTACCATTTTCATGTTCAGGAGGTCAAGGAGCATCATTCCTGAGATTTTGAACGAAATCGGAGGGGTCCGCCAAATGTGCATATGCAACACCTTGGCAATCTGCATGTGCATGGATGCGTATATATGGAAAAGTTCATGACGGCGTTCAAAGGGAGTACCATTTTCATGTTCAGGAGGTCAAGGAGCATCATTCCTGAGATTTTGAACGAAATCGGAGGGGTCCGCCGAACGTGCATATGCAACACCTAGGCAATTTGAATGTGCATGGATGCGTATATCTGGAAAAGTTCTTGACGGCGTTCAAAGGGAGTACCATTTTCATGTTCAGGAGGTCAAGGAACATCATTCCTGAGATTTTGAACGAAATCGGAGGGGTCCGCCGAACGTGCATATGCAACACCTAGGCAATTTGAATGTACATGGATGCGTATATCTGGAAAAGTTCTTGACGGCGTTCAAAGGGAGTACCATTTTCATGTTCAGGAGGTCAAGGAGCATCATTCCTGAGATTTTGAACGAAATCGGAGGGGTCCGCCGAACGTGCATATGCAACACCTAGGCAATTTGAATGTACATGGATGCGTATATCTGGAAAAGTTCTTGACGGCGTTCAAAGGGAGTACCATTTTCATGTTCAGGAGGTCAAGGAGCATCATTCCTGAGATTTTGAACGAAATCGGAGGGGTCCGCCGAACGTGCATATGCAACACCTAGGCAATTCGAATGTGCATGGATGCGTATATCTAGAAAAGTTCTTGACGGCGTTCAAAGGGAGTACCATTTTCATGTTCAGGAGGTCAAGGAGCATCATTCCTGAGATTTTGAACGAAATCGGAGGGGTCCGCCAAACGTGCATATGCAACACCTTGGCAAT